AGGTTTCTATAATAGAAATAATACTTAGAGATTATTAAAAGTACTTTATAGTCTTAGAAAGTTACCGCGTTTATAATAATAAAAGGCTACTTATATATTTAAAAAGCTTAGATTTAGACTTATCCTAGAGGATCCTTACTTATTTATAAATAATAGTCTAATTATCTTCTTCTATATTAATAATAATATTATAATATTTTACCGACCGAAGTATTAGAAAATAATCTAACTAAAGTAATAACTAAAGAGATACTAGAAGGTTTATAAAATAGGAGAAATAGCTTAGTTTCTTAGAATATAAATTCTCTAAGATATCTAGAAGTATAAGCTCTAGCTCTACTAGGATTTATATATCTCTTTTATAGCCGCTAAATATAGACTTATTAGTAAACGTAAGTATAAAACCCTATTATATATAAACTATATAAATAAGTTTACCGGAGTAGTAACTAAAAAGTAGGTTTATAAATATTAATAAAAACTTAGTTCTACTCTTTATCCTATTATTATTACTGGTCTAGATATAGTAAAGATAGCTAGCTACTTAGCTAAATTCCTTATAAATCTAGGGCTAGAATATAGAGAGGTAGTAAATCGATTAATTTAATAATTATATATAATACTCGCTTCTTTACTCTTAAATATTATTCAATATATTATATATCTATATTCTATTTATTAAGTAATACTTTATTTAGCGATTATATCGATTAGAAAAGCTTAAAAGGCTTTCTCTATAAGCTTTTCGATATTATAGTCGATTAGAAAGCTAATAAATAGAGAACTATTATAATATCGATAATAGAAGCGGAGCTATTTACTATTTTAGAAACCGGTAAGTTAGCGATATAGTAGAAGAGGCTTTTTTATATAGTCGGACTTAATTATAGACTTAATATAGGATTATTAATTAATTACGATAACTAATAACGTATTCGGTAAGCGAGCTGCGCACGCAACCGAGCTACGCACCCCAACTAATATATTAATTTCAAATGCATATATCTCAACCAAAACTCTATTAAATTAAATACACTAAAATGATCTATCTAGCTAGGCATCTATTAATCTTATGTCCTATTTCTCCACAACCACTGCACTTTGGCGGGGCCCGCGTACGTGGTTGTAAAGCCGGCGAAGGGCTTCTTCGTGCAGGGGAGGGAGGTGCTTCAATTGCTTCCTTCCACCGGCTCAATAATTAATTGAGAGGCTTCTTGCACTGTTAAGCCTGCTTCAGCTAGTATCTGCCTCCGGGATCGAGTACGCTTTTGCTTCTACTTCTCGTTGGCAGCGCGTAATTCCTTATTTTCTTTGGCGAGTAAGATAGCACCTTATATTGTAAGACGGAAGCCCTTTATAAGCTGGTTTAATGCACGATCCGATAGGCTCGGCGGGCTTCGAGATCTTGTACGAAGTAAAGCTTTAATTGACGAAGCCTACCGACGTAGTTCTTTCTCTATAGCTAGTATTTTTAGTATAAAATTTCGACTTGATTTACTCCCCCGGCTAGGGGGGGGGGGTAGGTATTCGAAGCTATATATTAAGCTTTAAGATCACTCTCTCCGGTTTAAAAGGGACTAAACTAGCTACTACGAAGCTATTTTTAATCGTCTCCGATTTAAAAGCTTCAATTCGTACGAAGGGGTATACTTCGAGGAAGTCAAGTTTGTCAATATAATTGATTCCGTTCCGTATTTTTAACTTAACTATCCGACTATATATATATTTTAATACTATAAAATAACTAATATTAAGAGGTTATAAAAGATAAGATAAATACGCTAGTATATAGATTAGTATAACTTTATTTTATTTATAAAGTTTATTAAATTTAGATATTAAATAACTTCTATAGCCGTTAAGTATTAAAAGCCGGTATACCCTCTTTATATATATAGTACTAAGAATAAAGAGCTTTTTAAGCTAATAAAGTCTAATTTTATCGGAGGTCTAGCTATTAGGACTAACTTCGAAGCGCTAATCCTTTAAAAAGCTATCGAATTATAATTTAATAAAGACTTTATCTTTAAAAATTATATACGGAGGAAGGACCTATTTAGAAGTATTTATATATTTAACTACTATTATCTATTTACAATTTCTAGATTATAAAACCGGCCTCCGACTATAGTATTTACTCTATATAATAACCTTTATAGTTATAGTTAACCCTATTATAAAACCGGTCTTATCGAAGTTATAGATATCGTCGGGGTCGATTCTAAATTAAAAAATAGTCTTTTAAACTAGATTAAACTACTCCCTAATAATTTTAGGGTCTTTATATTTCGTACGCTTATAGTTATATCGTTTTAAGAATCGGGAGGAGAGGAGAGGATATTATTTTTACGAATTTTATAACCTAGTTTTAGCTAACCGAAAGAACCGGGGTAGTACTACGTTTCTAAAGAAGAAGATCCGCTATTTCTTATACTATAGAGGACTAGGGGGTTACTCTATATAGATATATAGAGAGAATCTATTTTTTAAGAGATTCCTCTTTAGTCTAGGTCAATTTCTATAGGTTAGTGCGAGAAATCGCGTAGTTTTATAAGCCACAGAGGCGTATAGCGAGAGTTGAATTCGGTACGTTAAACCGGCGGGCGGTTTCACGAATTGAAGAGATTTCTCGATTCCTAAAAGCCTAGATAGTTAGTAAGATCCTAGCCTCTTGCTCTATTAAATTTTTAGAGCTCCGGGAACGTATTGGTGGCATAGTGGGTGGTTGAATTAACTAAGTGCTAACCGGCCCCTATAATTCTTTTCCAAAAAATACGGACCCCCGCAAGCGAGGGTCCGCCACCCATATGAAAGGGATCACCCAAATGAAAGATTTTTTATAAATTTAACTTCAACCTCTATTTTCTATAATATAATATAGTAAATTAATTAATTAAAAATAGGGAATAAATCAATTAACTAATTTACTACTAATATATAAAATTATAGTACTATAGTACGTTATTTAGCTCTACTATACTTCCTAATTTCGATTAATACCTTCTTCTACTTCCGCTTCGTCTTTTCTTAATCCGCTTTTTTAGTCAATTTATACTCCTTTCTCTTTATTTCTTTTACTTAGTTTAAATTAATAATCCTAGTGATTCGTATATAGCGGCGAGAAGTATTATACCGGGCGTAGCGTACTCTTAAAATAGCTTATATTAAATCGAATTCCCGTTAAAGCTAGCGAGCTAAGGTAGCCTATACCTTAGCCCCCTTTATAAGCTTTACTAGCCCTTCTTTAAAGCGCTAAGATATAGGATTATATTAATTAAGCTATAGGCTAATCCGTCTTACTTTTTTAGTAGTTTTTAGAGTACTAAACTCGGTATTTTATAAGGTAATTGATAGTATATCCGACTAGGGTACTAGATTATAAGTCTCTAATTTATTAGTAATAAGCTTAGAATTAATAGGCTAAAGGCTAGTTAATTTAAAACTAAGCTTAATTATATATAGTTTAAAGATTTTTCGACGGATTTCCCTAATTAAATATAGGAATTCGTCCTTTAAAAATCGGCGGTATCTAGTTATTATAGCCGCTTTAACTACCTTACTATATTAGTATCTATATACGTTAAATACGCCGATATCGAGAGGTTATAATATATAGCTTATATATAAAAGTAAGAAGAATAAGATAATATTATTCTTCTTATAAAATTCGATAAATTAGTATATTAAATAGGATCTAAAATAATTATATAAAATAAGCCTCTTTCGGCTAAGTATACGACTAATTATCTACTTATAAAAGAGCTAGATCTACTAATATACTAGAGTATTATTAATATAACCGGTATCGGTTATAGTAAGATACTCGTCGCCTTTAATAGCGTTAAACTAGCGTAGTAATACCTACTTAGCGCTTAGGATTATAAGCGGCGGGTAGGTAAAACTATCGGCTAAAATAGCTTCTAAAATAGTAATAGATTTACGATTAGTAATAGATCTATTAAATAGCCTCTTTTTTAGATATCTTATAATAATAAATTAATCTCTTCCGATACCGATTTAAAAGCCGGTTTCGTTAAAATTATAGATATCTTATTAGTATATACTATACTTAGTTATAATACGCTCGTAGTCTTTAAACTACCTATCTACGACCGTTTTATCGAGTATAGTAGCTCTTTTAATATCGAGAGCTCGCTAGCGTTATACGTAGTACTTAGGATTACGTTTAAGAAAACGCTTTAGCTAGTAGTCGCCGATTTATAGTAGTAGAATAGACTCGTTATAACAATCTTCCTCGAGAATTAAATTAGCTATAATAGCAATTTAGCGGCGGTTTATTAATACTCCGACCGCGTTAAAGTAATTAATATACTTATATAAAGCCTTCTCCTATATAGGACTAAGCTTCCGGCTATTTAGTAGTCGTTAAAAAAGGGATTTTCTACCTTTCTAACGCCGACGAAGACGGCTATCTAGAACCCTAAATTCCCGCGTAGTCTTCGAGATATTAGGCTTAGTTTGCTCAGAGAGAGAGTCGAGGGCTTTAAGAAGCTAATCCTCTATATTTCTATTGGTTTTAGGCATTTTTAGTGGTATGGCTTATAGTAGAAGTGAGATGGTTAGAATTCAAAAAAATCTTTCATTTAGGTGATCCCTTTCATATGGGTGGCGGACCCTCGCTTGCGGGGGTCCGTATTTTTTGGAAAAGAATTATAGGGGCCGGTTAATTTATGGACGCGTTTTTAGTTGGGGTGGCCACTCGCTTACAGTGGCCGCTCGCTTACAGTGGCCGCTCGCTTACCGAATACGTTAGTTAGTTAATAGTCGGAAATGGTAAGTAAACCAGACGCGGGTAAAAAAAAGGCGTAGGCGGGATCCTCACCGTATGACTATCAGCCCCTAACATTTATCACAATCAACACCAATCAGTCTATATGCACTATGATGGACTACTACCACAAGCAGTATATTCAAAGCAAGACTATCTAGTCCTTATTGGTTTTTGATACCATAAAGATGAAATCAGGACATGTCACCCATCAGATCTTCATCCATCTCAAGTCCAGCATCCCCCCTACAATAGGATTGACTTCACTAGAACTTGACCAAACCTGACCCTTATGTAGGCTATCAACGTAATCATCACTTAGTCCCAGGTTATTATTGGTTTCCCCAAGATTAATCACCAGCGTCTCCATCAGCTTCATCTCCTGCTTGAGTTGGGACTGTAAGTCCAACTCACGAGAGAGTTGAGGCAACGAATGAATGGATGAGAAACGTAGCATAGAAGCCTCAGCATGATCTTTGGTTTCCACCAATGTCGCGTTCAAAGCACTAGACATGATGATGGATGAAACAGCGGATCCAGTGACTTCTGCACACACAGGGGAGGGAAACACCTGCTTTGAAAGGTCGGCCATCGTTAAAGCTGCAAAGGTCTTCCCAAGCTTGATAACGGTTTGACTGAAGAAAGCGCCCACTACCTGGGAAACGAGACCGAAATTATTGTCCTAAAGCGGTGACATTAGCCTTGAATGTCAAAACAACACAACCTACAGTGTTAATTAGAGCAACCACCTACCGCGCACCAGACCCCTTTGGCAGCATCAATTTCAGCATTAAGTCTCTTCAAATCACCACGTTCAAATGCATGAGCAAGAATGATATAGGGCCTCGCAAGTGATTGATACACTTTCACCACATGGGGTGTTGTGATGCTTGGAGGCGGACAGAGCTGCCCACAAAAACAGTTAGCCCAAGAAAATAGTAGGGCTATTGTTGTCGAGAGTTTCTTTTATTTTCTCTTTTCGCGAAGAGGAAACTCACCTTGCCCTTTTCGAGTAAGCCTACCAGCACCCATTTTTTGTAGGCTTCCACCATAATCAAGCTCACGGAGCTAGTGCCCGGAGTAGAGATGACAATCCCAAGGAAATGAAGTGCATTGCGCCACTCCTTCAAGGCCATGTACACCATACCACCATAAAGAAAGTACTGCAAGTAGTCTCGGTATGATAGCTTGGATGAAACCCCAGAAGCTTCGGTCATAAAGGATACACCTGAGCCGTGATCCGCGCAGAGCACCGAGGGGTCTGAAGAGGGGCGCCCCAGCGAAATTGGGAAATGACAGATCTGCTTATTCAAGACCGGTAATGCACAAGAATATGCTTTGGCCTGGAGACAAAGTCGGACAAGCAAAAGGTGACTCGAGGTGAAAACGGCACAGGATGGGTCAAGACGAAGCATAGCGTCCTTAACCAGCGTAGCGCCTAGTAGTGGCTGTGCAGGGTTAGGTTAGCAATTGAACACAAGAAAAGTTGGAAAACAGCTGACTTGCCATTGATGCAGCTTGTGAGGCCTGCCCCACGAGTTCAACAAGAAGGCGCCATTCTCGTCCAGCGTATCTGACTTGAACCCTATCGAAACTGGCCAAAAAATGTGTAGCGCACGTCCATAGCCTTCCCGAGGGGCGGAGATCCGCTGGAAGTGAATCGGCATTCAGTTCCTGTGCCTTTTGTATTTGCACTCGTAGCACGAAAAGATACGGGATAGAATCTATCGCTGGGTCAAAATGCTAGAGACAAATGCATATTAGCTGCGAACCCATAGAACTTTCACACACAAGACTTGGTGTAAGTAAAGCTGCTTACATCGAGAAAAGGCTCATCATTAGCAAATGAGTCGAGTGCCTTGGTTGTTTGTAGCCGTCTCAAATATTCAACTAGGTCGCGGATCCGACGGTCATACTCGTCGCTGGGTAGGTGGTTAGAGTGATGTAAATTTGCCGATGCGGATACAATATCCGAGAGGAGTGTCATCCTGGCGATGTAGGAAAGAAGAGCACAAGATAATTCGGCGTCAAATGCGCCAAGGTGATCTTCTTTCAAACCGGTGTGGATATATTGATGTCCGGATTGCAATACAATGGACACTCAAGGTTGGATGAGGAAGGGAAGAGCGAAGGGGCAGAAAAGAGATTCGATGAAATATCTGGTAAAAGAAGACTAGGTTGTAGGTATTTCCCACGGGGATTGTATTGTAAAAGAAGTGTGACGTAGGGTGTTGATGGAGATTGGAGACCTCGGGGAGGTGGGTAAATCCGAGACGAGCGGGATCGATAACGTGCCCCTCCACACTTTTTGACTCGATTTATATTTTTCTTCTCCCTTTCTTCTTTAAGTCTTCGAAGTCTTCACGACCATCACTTCTTTTCCCGCACTTATTGTTCAATCCTTATAGGAGCGGAGATTATTTGACATCATGCCATTGACCGAATCTGCAGCAGTTGATGCTGCCCAGAGCGCATCACTTGCCTCTCGTCGCCTTGCAACTTTAAACAATGATGATCGCAATAAAGCTTTGACCTTACTTCATGATGCATTGAAAACGAACGAAAAGGAGATCCTTGAAGCCAACGCTAGGGATGTGGAAATTGCTACTATTGCGGCCGAGAGCGGGAATTTGAGTCATAGCGTACTCAAGAGACTTGACCTGTCGCGGCCTGGAAAATACAAAGACATGCTTGATGGAATCTTGAGTGTGCGAGACTTGGATGACCCTAGTGAGTGCATTTTCTAATCTTTGAGCTTCGCAAAGACAGAACTTAACACAATACAATCTTAGTTGGGAAAGTGACACTACGAACCCTCCTTGACGATGGTTTGACACTCGAAAGAGTTAGCTGCCCCATCGGTGTTCTGCTGATTATCTTTGAGGCCCGCCCAGAGGTAATAGCGAACATCGCTGCGTTGGCTATCAAGTCAGGTAACGCTGCTATTCTGAAAGGTACACGCACGCCCTTATGAAACTTTCATGATATTGTTCAATTGACACAAATTTCCAGGTGGGAAGGAATCCATGGAGTCCTTTGCGGCAATCGCAAACGTTGTCTCTAAAGCTATCGCCGAATCTCGGGTGCCAGTGTCATCGATCCAACTGGTCAAGACACGCGATGCGGTGTCTTCTCTCTTGGCTCAGGATTCGCTGATTGACCTTGTCATTCCTCGAGGTTCCAACGAACTTGTCCGTTTCGTGAAAGAGAATACGAAAATTCCTGTGCTTGGACATGCCGATGGCCTTTGTTCTGCTTACATACACGCCGATGCCGATATCGATACCGCTGTGAAGGTGATTGTCGATTCGAAAACGGACTATCCAGCGGCCTGCAACGCATTGGAGTCGTTGCTTGTCCACGAGGATACCCTTGAATCTGTGTTCCCGGCGGTAGCTGCTGCACTCCTAGAAAAAGGCGTGACTCTTCGTTGTGATCCTGATTCAAAATCTGCTTTGACAAAGACATTGCCAGCTGAGATATCAGCGCGAGTACAAACGGCCACCGAATCCGATTATAACACTGAGTTTCTGGACCTTGTGTTAGCTGTGAAAACAATTCCCTCGACCGATTCTCCGACCGCGGCTGTGGAGGCTGCCATTTCCCATATAAACATGCATTCCTCCAAGCATACTGAGCTCATTTTGACCCAGTCAAAAGAAGCGGCAGATATGTTCATGAGCGGAATTGACAGCGCGGGTGTTTTCTGGAATGCATCTACTAGGTTTGCCGATGGCATGCGGTTTGGATTTGGTACCGAAGTTGGCATCAGCACCAACAAGATTCATTCCCGAGGACCGGTGGGACTGGAGGGTTTGACGATTTACAAGTACTTGATCCGGGGTAATGGTCACGGGGCTGCAGACTATGGTGAAGGAGGGAAGAAATATCTTCATACTAATCTGCCCATAGGCCAGTAATCGCCTCCAGTGCAACGCATCAATAGAAGGATATCATTTTAAAAAAGATTTTTTTTTCTTGCTTTCTTTGAAAAATCCCATAAGAAAAAACTTAGGACAAAGCCTGATTCAATTTTCTTTTGCCCCTTCATTCGTAAATTCTCATTTTCCAGTCCAACCAAAGACATCCCGCCACTTTTAAGTACACAGACTTGAGGTCTCTGGCCAGAACTGGAACGATTCCAGGCACCGAGAAAGTCAATGTGGCCAATGCATCTTTCACAATACATACACACCGCATCATCCCCGTCAAGTCCCTTAAACCTTGAAACCCTTGGAACGTCTGCGACCACGAGCCCGCTCGAACTTGCGGCCCTTGCTTCCCACGTACGGCTTCTGTTTTGAGTCAGTAAAATTGAATCACACCATCTCATTTGCCACTTGTAATCACGCACCTTGTCGGTGTGAGGACCGAAGCCGAAGTGCTTCACGGCCTCACGGGCGTTCTTGGGTCCACGCAGGAGGAGAGTGTTGGCACCGGTAGGAGCGCGGAGAGCAAGCTGGTCAAGGGTCAAAGTCTCACCACCAGCCTTCTCAATGCGAGCGCGAGCGGTAGCGGTGAAACGGAGGGCAGCAATCGACAGCTTGGGAACGGTCAAAAGGCGGTTGTCATCGGTGACAGTGCCGACAACGACGACGGTCTTGCCCTTCTGCGCCTCGCTGATGTTGGCGACAGCGCGAGAAAGGGAAACCGGGGGGCGGTTGATTCTCGACATGAAGAGACGACGGAGGACGGCCTTGTTGAAGTTGGACTCGGTGCGGCCTATCAAGTATCCCATATCAGCCTCACTAAAATCCTCATATAACGGTACACCTGCAGAAATTGCGCTGCAAACGAAATTCGGAATCGGGGAGTCATACGAGCCAAGAAGCGGTAGAGCTTCACCAGAACCTTCAAGTAGACGTTGTCGCTCTTGGGAGCCTTGCGGTGGCTGCTCCGCACATGGTGGCGGTCCAGGTCGATACCTGCGATTTATGAATTGTCAGTGGAATGGACTGAGAACGAGAAAAAAAGCAAAGGTTTCGAATGAACGCTGCAAGATGCGATAGTCGAGTGAATGGAGATGATTGAACATACCCATGGCTGTGTATTGGTCGACTTCCCGGGAAATAGCTTGCTGTCGCACCCGTATGGAAAGTGCAGGAGGTTTTTGATCCTTGACTTTCGGCTGGACAGTGGTGTGTGGGTTTAGCCCTACGCTAGACTTGACTAGGAAAGGCGAGGCACATGACTTGGCTGTAACCACGTGACACTTTTTGACCTTTTGTTCTGATTTGCCACCTGGTCACGTGGTGAGTGGATCTCGTTGTATCTAGCCCTGGAGAATTACTCCGTACAAAGTACAAATGAACCTTATCTTCAAGTTCTGCTAATAACTAGAGTATACATATCTATATCTACATATCTAGGACATCTAGGACATCTAGGTCATCTAGGTCATCTAGGTCATTTTTGTCCACTATTGTTTATATATTTCTGCATTGTGTATAATCAAATGTTCTGAATAGTAATGAGGAGAAATATCTACGTACATACATTATTTGAACTATTCTCTATCATTCAAGCCGACAAAGAAATCACGAGTCATTTCAAAACTCAACCAGCTGCTGGCCATACTGGGAGCAACTTTCAAAAGATTTGGCCCTATCCCCTTGAAGAGTCCACGTAGTCCCTCTTCAGCCACGATGACCCTCACAGCATCCCAGATTGAGGTGTATTGGTAACCCATTCCCGACATTGTGTTGATTTGGAATCGTCGACGTAGCACATCACTAAGGAACAAGTCAGTTTCACAGGGCTTAAGCCAATAGAGTAGAAGAACCGACAAAGGATAGGTACAGGTCTGGGCGACTGCTCCAGAAATCGCACCAGCCAGTAATTTTCGATATGAGCTGGGGTTTTTATCCCCTTCCGGTGTTAGATACTTGCGCACCGATTCGTAGGTCATAAAATTGAGTCCCACCTGTCGCTCGTTAGTTGTGACCAAATGACCAAATCAAATTAACTCGATAAACTCACGTATGGGGCTACTCCAGCAACGGTAGGTGCAATTCCACGGTATAAAGCCTTTGCCCCACCTTCATTTTTATAGATCATGGCCATTGTGGTGAACATGCCTGGCAGTTTTTGGTTTGGGTCTCTTGCTCCAAGATCGGCAAATGAAGCGGATTGAATGGAAAGCCGGGTTCGAACAATGTCCAGAGGATAGGTGATAGTCACTGAGGTGATGCCGGCAACACCTCCACAAACAAGGCGACGCATCGGGGTCATCTCACCATCGGGAGACTCTACAAACTAGATCAAAGAGATGTTAGTTTGCATCTAACCTTGGTTCCGCAGGGATAGGAATCAACCCACTTTTTTGTAAAAATTATAGCTCCCAAACTGTACTGCGGAGTAGGGGATAATGCGAATGCAGTTTGTTCCATTTCCTCGCATGAAGCCACGCCAGCCTTCTTCCCGCCCCATCTTCACCAAGGCTTTCCAGATTGACAATCTGTATTCTGTTCGGCCGACACTTTGAATTTGAAGAAGAATTTTCAATCGTTCCAGTGGTGACACTATTGTCCTGGAAACTGCACCAGCCACACCACCAGCCATGAATGCAGCCACCACGGGTTCGGCGAGGTTTTCTCTAGTACGAACTAACATTGAGGGAGTTTGATCATTAATCAGATCCTGCTTTAAACAACCAGTCAGCCTCCAAGCTCATATGGAGAAGGGGGGGGGGGGGGGGTCCTTCTCACCCTGGCTGGATTTGAACCAGAGGGAAACTTGGACATATTCTGCAAGACAGGCTTTCCTGTACCCTTCAACTCCTCTTTCTGAATAGCATCCTGGCGATCTAGGCTCATGTTGACGATATGCACATCCGGTTTCGTGGATGAGGTTGATAAAGCAGTCCTTTGTGTTTTGTTGTGTAATGATTTCCCACAATTCTTTGAATCAGAAAAATGAAGCTTGACTGTTGCTACAAATCAAATGCGATGAAGCACTATTGGTGTGGTGCTAGCCATGAATGTTGGT